GAGGCTGCCGATTACACCAATGAATTTGCATAGATACAAAAATGCAACAGTATGTTCAAGTGTACAGTGTAGTATGTGCTACAGTGTACAGTAGAAATATATGCTAAAATGTTCCACAGACAGACAATCTGCTTTAAAAACAGATTGATCACAGTCCGTTAAAAGCAGAAGTGACAGTACAGAAAAAAAGCTGCTGCTCTTCACAGCTTAATTTAGAAGCCTGAGGGCCTCAAAAGTTAAGACTGCAAATATTTTAATACCTGAAGTGAAAACAGTATGGCTTTCAGAGGTTCTGTGCATTTTAAATTGTGGTTGAGGAATGTATCTATCCTTCCACCTCACACACAGGACAACTTCATTGTATCATAGTTTCAGGGGATTGGTACCAAAGTCCCAGCACTTTGCCACTTCTACTCTCACTCTGAAAATGTTAGCATTATTCATCTACCAACTTGTTTTAGCCTCCATAAGTCAAATGCAAGGCACTCATTTTGTCCCTTGTCTTTCTTTTTTCCCCACTTTGAAAACGGAATTTATCAGTGTCTTTCATATCAGTCTACAACATTTCCCATCTTACATTACAGAGATTTGCAGTTAAAGGGGAAAATGCTTTGCTTCTGAAAAACAAGAAAAGGAACAAATATGTCTCCTGTCCAAAAATCCTAAAAATCCTACTTATATAAACAATGTCCCATTTCCAAAGCACAGAGATTTCTTAAGTTCAGCAAACAGACTGTCTGTGCTGCATTTACACAGAGCCCCGTTCATTCATCACTTTCAGGTCTAATTACCAAGCCATTTCCCTCTTGGCAACCTCTAATGGTCAGAAGAATTAGGTTTTACATGGTCAGGATACCAAGGGATAACAAATACCCATAACTCTTTGCAGCTGAGCAATTTGTAAAGTCTCTCAAGCTTTGTCTGGGTAAGGGATTACTGCAAGGCAAACTTTCCTCCTCATGCACTGCTGCATCTGGACCAGTCCTGAAGGTCTCACTTCAGCACAGCCTCTCCTACAAAAAGTTGTAACATCTTTCAGAAGTAAGGAGTAAGAAAATGAAGTTATAACCCACTCATAAAAGCAAATGTTGATTAGAACCACAAAGCAGTGGAAAAGGCTCCACACCTCACATAGCTCACCTCTTACAGTTGATATCCAAGTGGAGATCAGTGATGAGTGGTGTTCCTCAGGAGTTGGTGTTGGGACCAGCGCTGTTTAACATCTTTGTTGGTGACACAGGCAGTGGGATTGAGTGCACCCTCAGCAAGTTTGCCAACAACACCAAGCTGTGAGGTGCAGTTGACATGCTGGAGGGAAGGGAGGTGATTTTTCCCCTCTACTCCGCTCTTGTGAGACCCCATCTGCAGCACTGTGTCCAGCTCTGGGGCCCCAACAGAAGAAGGACATGGACCTGCTCGATCAGGTCCAGAGGAGGCCACGAAGATGATCGGGGGGCTGGAGCACCTCCCTTATGAGGACAGGCTGAGAGAGTTGGGGGTGTTCAGCCTGGAGAGGAGAAGGCTCCAGGGAGACTTTATAGCGGCCTCCCAGTAGTTAAAGGGGGCTACTGGAAAGGTGGGGGAGGGACTCTTTATCAGATAGGATGAGGGGATTTAAACTGAAAGAGGGTAGATTTAGGTTAGATGTAAGGACGAAATTCTTCCCTGTGAGGGTGGTGAGGCCCTGGCACAGGTTGACCAGAGCAGCTGTGGCTGCCCCCTCCCTGGCAGTGTTCCAGGCCGGGTTGGACGGGGCTTTGAGCAACCTGATCTAGTGGAAGGTGTCTGCCTGTGGCAGGGGGGTTGGAACTAGATGATTGTTTAGCTCCATTCTACAATTCAAATTCCCTACCAACAGCCTTCTTCATTTGCAGAAGTGTTTCCTGTGCCAATCACTGTTCCTACTCAAAACTCATCGTGACACTTCTAACTTTCTACCCTTTCTTCTTCCACTGGTTTTTTATCTATTCCTTAGAATCAGTTACAGTGAGTGCCTCCATTTATTTTTTGTAGTCAGTCCATTCAAACACTAATTTTTTATTTTCACTTCTCTCTAAACTTCCTCTAACATCTCAACATAAATCAGAGGGAAAAGTCTTCCAAGGGCGCTAAAGTGCAGCGTAAGAGAACAAAATGCAGAAATGAATACAGATCAGATTATCTTTCTGTCTTCACTATCAGATTGGAAACTCAAGTCCATTCAGAATTACCATCTCATCTTCTTGCATCAAGGACCTCCAGACTTCTCCATCAAGCAACTTGCTCCTTCTTCCTCATAGGTGCAGGATTATATTTTTGTAAATTCTCTTCAAGGCTGGTATGTATCCAGCCCACACTTTCAATTCTTTGGTTAATATACATTATATGCCTACATGCAAAATTGCAATGGGAGTGTGGACAGACAAGAAGAAAAAAACAGGAGTTTATTTCATATCGACAGAACTTCTATGATGACTGTGTAAGAAATAATCTTTTTAATATATATAAATAATTTTCACAGTGGAAAATGTCAATTAATATAATTTTTTCCTGACTTCAAAATATTATTTCTTGTAACTAATAAATGCACATTTTGTAAAACAAAACTGCTACACATGACAGTTACATTAGGTAAAGTATTAGATGTATTACAATTATGGAGTTATGGCTTGGAAATGCATAGTAAATAAAACATTGTGGCATATCTGAATGCAGCTACAGTGTTTGCCATGGAGTAATGACTTATGCAGTGACAGTGACTCCACTACATGATGCAGAGGAGGCTCTAACAAGAAAATTCCTTAGCTTTCTTGATCTACCTCTATTATAATTAATTACAAAATCTATTAGTTTGTATGTGCCTGCTCGTGAGAAAGAATTGGTTAGTGATCTCTAGAGAAGGTTGGGAGCATAATGTTTGTGTTCTAAACCCACAAGCTTTAGTTTTATCTAAACAAGTATTAATGGGTTAATGAATACTTGGCAAACTGCTTTGAAGAGCAAAAGCATTAAGCAATTACTCAATGTTATTTCACATCTGTATTTCAGATCTGAACTATGCATAAAACTACTCTCACAACTTAACAGTTTAGGCTTCTCTGTATCTCTGGACATGTCCTGTTAGGATAGGAGAGGTTACCTACACGGGAGATTTGGGATGCAGCTCATTCTGCACAAAGCCCACAGAATCCTAACAAGGATTTAAACTGAGAGGAAAAAACTTTTACAAAGCTGTATCACAGTGTTTTTCACTGCCAGGGCAGAGAAAACTAATTCAACCAACAGAGGGAATAGGGAGACAACATAAACAGGTGTTTCCTTGAAAACTTCAGTATGGTTAGTAATAGTACAGGAAATGGATCTCCAGAGGCCACAAATCGTTAGCATCTCTAATGCATTTGCAAATTCCTACTGTGCAAAGTCAGCCTGTAAAAAAAGGCCATTTCTAATAAGTGCCTTGTCTGGTTTCCTACACCATTTAATTTCAGATGAATTTTATGAGAACTCTGCTACATGTTTTACCTCCCATCTGGTTCAGATTTGACAATGAAATATTTGTGTGTCCCACCCTGTTCTTTTTAAAGCTCTAAAACCAGATGTCTCCAGCACAACACGACTGCAGCAGGTCATACCACATTCTTCAGCAAGCTGTGCCAGGCCTACTACCCCCCACAGACAGTTCCAGGTAAGGCAAAATTGGGTTGTTTACTCCCTAAAAGAATAAAGCAAACAAACAAACAAGCTCAGCACCTCTAGGGCACTGTATGAAAAAGCTTATTCTTCCAAAAGTTTTTACCTTGATGAAGTAGTAAAAACTGAACACATTAAGAATTGCAGCAGAGGGAGATACTTCCCCTCCCCCCTCTATTGGCTTGATTCCAGCACACATTTTTGCAACTTCTCCACTGTGATAAGCATGCAGGTGTTTCAGTGTGCACTGCGGGGTGGCTAGCATTTCTAGGAAGCTTACAAGTTTTATAGTTGTATATATTGTGTATGAAAAGAATGCTGATGAAGACACTTTCTAACAGATTTTGCACTTTCAGTAGAAAACGTGTTCATTTCTTAGCAGTTTTACAGAGAAGCTCTATGTTGCATGTGATGCCACCTCCTATAACATAAACAATTTGTGTCACTGAAATATCAGACTGACACCTTTTATCCTTTTCTGCAGACACAGATGGCCCTTTTCCAATACAAAGTAATCTGTATGGATGCCGAGGTAGCTTCTTTTCCAGAAAAATTATGAAGTTGTGATGTGCCTTTTTAAACTGGACCAATACTTTCTACATGCACATATTTGATGTTTTTTTATGCAAAATAAAACAGAAAAAAAAGTACTTACTACAAATAGTAGTATTTTCTAAGAAAGACCACTTAGAGAGCCTGTCAAATCTTAAATACTATAGTAGCAACTAAAACCTACTATAGGCCTCCTTCAGACAAGAGCTGAACATCTCTCGGAATCATTACAAAGCAGGATATTAAAAAAACCCATTGTTAACTACTTGCACAATAATCCCTTTTTAATGTCACACATGAAAGGACATAAGCATTCCCAAATCTTTTCATGAAGTTTTTCCCAGTCTGGTGAAATGTTTAAATGTCAGTGTAAATTTAGGTATATGAGTAGTCTCCTTGGAAATCCGTGTTATATAGCACATGATCATATTGTTTGCTTGATGAAGACACTATATTAGGCCAGTACAACAACCCTGGGAAAAGAAAGAAGTTAGTTACTGGAAATAAATGCAAGCTAAAACCACAGAAAAGAGCCAAAGGGCATGAGAACCAGTAGAATCATTCCTGCTAATGAGGTGAGAAAGGAGGAACTGCACCAGTTTACCTATTTATGCCAACTTAAATATGCTTGAGTAGAAGTCACAAATGCTATCCTTCTGCATGTGGAATGAATATATTTAAGAAAATAATTATAGAAAGGTAATGCACTTGTGATTGCACAATGTAAGAGTAATTTATCAGAAAATAATGTCTGTGATTTTTGTAACAGGATTACTTACTTTCCCCTTTCAACTGCCAAGGCATCTATTTCATCAAAGAAAAGAATTGAAGGAGACACTGCTCTGGCTTTTCTGAAGATCTAGAGAAAAAACAATGAAACACTCAGTTTTAAGGGATGGAAAAACTTTTACAGAATGCTATCACCCCCTGCACACCTCAAAAGCTACAGAGCATCACAGAACAGACATAAGCCTTGTTATCTTTTTTTTTGTTCTTTTTTTTTTTTTAAAAAAAAAAAAAAAAAAAAAGCTCCACAAAAACCTAGATCTTTTACAAGTTATTCATGATACTGTGCTATGAAGGCTTATAGTGAAAGCTGCTACTGAATCCCAAATTTGACATGCATCACTAGGCTGAGGCAGGAAGAAGTTAAATAACACAAAATATCCCTTCTTCTTTTCTTTTTTTAAACTTAAACCAGAAGGAGTTTTAAGGTAACCTTAAAAAGATAAGAATTTGAATGCCAAGAAAGCTTAACATAAAACATAGCTTGCCCCTTCTCACCTCTCTCACTGCTCGTTCAGACTCACCAACATATTTATTCATAAGCTCAGGGCCCTGAAAAGTAAAAAAAAAAAGTTTAAGAACATCATTACATTTACATAAAAAAATGACTGAGATGATCTGCCAGTGCTACATTACTGTTACAATAAAGTTTGAGAATTTGACACTTGCAAGCCTTATTTGCGCATTTTTAGACTTACCTTCTACTGTACCAAGTTTTCCTCCATTTGTTATAGCACCATGCATGCAAGTTAGCCGTCTCGTCATAATACTTTCCTAGTACTTTCATGAAAAACGGAATTAACAACAACAACAAAAAGTCTTTGGGTTCTTAAAAGTTGTTGGCTCAACAGCAGCAGCAAGGGGACTACAAATCAGCCAGAAAGATGAATTACAGAAAAGCATTTACTTGCGCTCTCAACAGGCATCCTGTCCAGCCAAGCACCAAAACAGTGACTGAAACCAATGTTTAACAGTGCTTCTTTGAACTTGACAGTTTGCAGGTCCAAAAGGAAGAAGCTGCCATAGTAGTGCACCTGAAACCCATCCACGAGGTGCTCCATCCCCAGAAAGAAAGCTGTTCAGTGTCTTAGTTCATTCACATTCCTTCTCCTCTCTGCTGAGACTGCCAAACACGATTATTAGTGCCAGCTGCTGCAGTGCCTGTTTATACTCACAGCCCTGTCCACTAGGAACAGACTGGAGACCACAGGGTCAACGTTCAAGTCTTGAACAAGTACTTACAATTATAAAAAGTAAAACAATGGAGAATTCTCAGAGTATTTTCTGTTCTATTATATCCTGTAGGACAGGCTGCTTAATGTTTCCTAATGGGACTAAGATTCTCGTGGGATTGGTAACAACTCACTGACTTTAGCATGGTTTGCATCAACATTGACCTGCAGCCACAACCAAAGAAGATTATCCACTGCCCTGAACAAAAAAAGCCAGTGGCTTCAGCCTATTTTCCAGCAAACAGGTGTCCTCATAATTTCACCAGCAGTAACAACATCCTCCTCCACAGTCAGAAAACTGAACAACCTTCCAATGCTGCACTATACTATACTATACTTCCTATACTGCACCGCTGCGAGTACCTTCAGGTAATGATTGGCTCAGAGAGGTAAGGCAGCTTTAAACAGCAGGTATGTTAGAATTAAGAATGTGTGGCAGTTCCACATTTACACATTGGCAGCTAGACAGCTTCTGTTACCACCCTTCCTTGAATGGAACTGTCTGGACTTCGTACCCGGATCAGCAGAATACAGATTCACTACTCTAAAGACGCAGCATAGTGTTTTTTGCAGCCTCCCCTCTGCAAACTCCTTTCCAGTCTCGCACTAACAGTTAAATGCACTGACTTTATCTTGATGCTGGCACCATTGAAAAGTACCTGCACCTACATACGGGGGAAAAAACATACTCTAAACAGAAAAACACAAGTTATCCGGTATTGGCAAAGCATCTAGGCTATGCCACTAGTTTTATTTATTTATTTTCAAAGAGTTGTCCATTATCCAAAGAACCAGGTGAGATACTGCAGTAGCCAGGCCTAGCGTACCACACAGGTAAAAGCAGTGGTATAAGGGTTGGAAGAGCAGCACTGCATGCCTTGCCCATAGGACATGTAAATGACACAATTGGCAATGCTTCCTTTCATCAACGTTCACCCTTAAAGGAACTGCCACAGTAGATAAAGTGTCAACTGCAAGCCTTCAACAACTTCAAAATTTGATTCTGTTGGATACTTACATAGAAATATAATTTTTCAGACACATAATTAAGAATGCAGGAAAGAAAGGGAGAAAAAACAAGGAAGAGAAAAACACAAAGCCTATTCCTACTGTTCACTCTGGACACCTAACATGAGAAGCATGCAGCAGTTAGAGCAGAAGAGGCTTGCAGCTCAAAAAGACAGCACCCAGCTGCTCCTGGCCCTTGCCATTCATCACGTTCAGTGCAGATGAGGAATCTGATAGCACAGGTCTAACAAATGCTTATGGAATGAGAGCAGTCTTCTCTTTCTGTCCAGCTTTCTGTTAAACTGAGCTCATACACTGAGAAACCTCTGCAGATTCTACCCACAGTTATAGATTTCTTTTACTTACTTCTTGGAGCCTGTGGATCTTCTCTTTCATGGCCTTATTCTCACAAGTAATCTTCAATCACATCAGTATTCTCATGGAAACCAACATCATATACATCAGTGCCAACAGTGCACTCTTCTAGTATGACACAACATCAAATAGCCTGACATTTTCTTTTCTTTTGGCTGAGCACAAAAAAATACTTAAAACCAAAACTACTCTCTTTGAGCTTTAAGGTACAATATAATTTCAGATGCTTGGAGTTTTATTTTTAATTAAGCATTAAAATATGATCAAGGCAACATCAAAGCAATAAATACTGTTTAAAATGTTTCCAAAGAGAATTATTTTGAATGCATGGTTTTGCTGTGAGCTTTGACATGAAGTTTTTCTCCATTTTTCTCTTCATTAAGCATGAACTCCGGGTGAAAGACCACTATGTGTTATTAATGACCCGTGCCTCTTCAAGGAGAACTTTCATGAAAATTGATTTGAAGGTCTCCTAGTTCACCACTGATGTGTGATACCAAAACTGGTGTTGAGAACCATGGGTTCTACTTCAAGCAGCTTGGAAGTCTCATTATACATAGCAATAAAGGAAAAGACTCCAAAGGAAGAGAAAGCACACACAGAAAAAGAGGAGGAATTGGTATACATTTCATCTCATGCAAACACTTAAAACCACAACACAAAAACTGGAAATGTTCAAAGAAGCTGGATGTAGAAATTGAACTGGGTTAGCTCTGGTCCCACCTCAGCTGAACCTCTGCCTCGCCCTGTCTGCAAATGGTCTGTCCTTCAGCAGAGAGTCATGGCAGTTCTTTCAGAAGATAGATCTGTATGACAAGCAGTCTTCAGACCACCACAAAAATCACCTGCTGGACAGCTAATTTCTAATTTTCAGAAAGCTCACCTTCTCTTTTTAGGAAGGTTGCTTTGAAGTTGGAGGCCACTCAAATTCCAGGAGGATGGGGTTTTTTTCTATTTTTCAATGCTTTTCTAACACTTTAAAAATCAAATTACATGAGTCTGACTTAGTCAGCAAGTTGACATTTGTTGAAACACCATTTTTGGCCCAGAGGTGAGCATAATGATTCCTTTATAAATTGTTTATAGCTGTTGATATACTGATCAAGAGTAACAAATGGTCCAGCTTAGTAAATCTGTTCTCTTCTGCAACAAGCCACCTTCCATAGGAAGAGACATGAAGAAATTAAACCTGTTCCTTCTGGTCATTTGCATAATGACTCCAAAACCAGCAAAAGATTTGGAGCAGGAAATTGGCAGAAGTCATTATAGTTTACCCATGCATATAAGCATACCGTTTGTGAGCTACAATCTGCTAATTCAGGCCCTCTGTATACTGTTGAGTTTTGTTTATTCAGCCTCAGAGTAGAGATAGTTTCCAGGTATGCTCTGTTTAAAGACTATCCAATCCTCATTTACAAGATGCATTCCCCTTGTATCACGAAACCTTCCACTTGTTTATGGTCTAGATCAGGTGTTGATTTTAAAATTATTTTTAAATAAAAAACAAGGAAAAAAAGAATTCTTTACCTTTAAAGTATGAGCAGAATAAGCTCTTGAAAGATTAACTGCACAAAATATAAAACCCTTGTATACAGGCTGCAACATGAGATAAGCTTGTGTACACCTGGTCATGACAGAAGTTCTCAAAGTGTTTTTAAACTGAAAGAGAAACATCTGGTATCCCTGAAGTTAAAGAGTAGCAGTAATTTTTCCAAGCAGTGCTTAAAACCACTTGCAGATTTTTTCCACCTGAAAATACTGGGGTAGCGACTTTCAACTGATAGGAAATTTAGTTAGTGACTTTCCTCTATAAATCATTTCTATACTATTTTGACAATCAGATAAATTATGCACCTATGTTTGTTGAGTCAGATGGACACAGCTCCAGATTACTCCAGCATACAGCTCAGTCTACTCTCTCCAGAAACACTGCCATAACCTCACGTGCAGGCTCAGGACTCTAACACAGACACCCTAAACTATGCTAGCCAGAGAGTATTATTCATATTTTTAAAATATCCAATTAATTAGAGAATTTATATCACTTCCTACAAATTATTACTCTACAATAGATAATGCACAATTCCTTCTCTGTCATGCTCAAAGTAGAAATGATCAGACATTAAAATATCAGTCATAATTAATATTGATTTCAAACGATGTATCTAGAAACTGAGCTCGGTACTGTGAATCTCAAAAAGAAAAAAAAAAAAAAAGATGGGGGTGCCAAAATTACTTTTCAACTGTTCACAATGTATACCTATGGCATTCATCACCCACACTCGGACATCTGCACCTGAGTTAGACATTCACACAGATCTGGACAGACAGACATCTACCTCACAGATGCAACACACCTCACTGATGTGCTCATTTCTCATCAGACTGCAGGAAAAGCACAGCCAGCCAGAGGAACACAGACAGTCAGGGGAGCGAAGATTTATCCCACCCCTACCAGTACATCTTTCATGGAGTTAAAACCAGCATTTTGGTTTTGACCCCACACCTTTTTTTAAAAATTCTTTCCAATCCCATGACAATGAAAGTAAAATGATCTACTACAACAACATTAACTGGCTTGGAAGAGACTCTGGAATTAGCTACTTAGTTTTTGATACTGTAATCTTAACAACAAAATGCTACCCCATCCCTACCACAGTCAAACCAAAGCAACGTATGACTCAGGCTGGCTGCAGGAAAGAGAGTTAACAAGGTACACAGTGAGACTTCCTTTATTTTAACAGTAAGGCTATTTCTAACGCAAAGGTTGTACGCATGTGATTTGGTAATTGGTTACGCTACATAGAAAAATATTTGCTCAGAAAACGCATTATATTTGCTTGTTAAGAGTAAAGCCTACTACTTCTCTTTCAATGCTGTTTAATGATTTAATCTGCATCACTCACAGCTTCTCAGCACAAGTAAACTCCAGGCTGA